GGGGGGGGAACCGGTGAGATTTGAGCGGAATAAGGGAAGAAGCTATCAGTTGTGATTTTTATGGACACCGGCGCCTAACCAATTGTTTGTCTAAGGGTATTATAGCAGTGCCGCTATTTGATTTTTTAGTGATTGCTATGATGGGTGAATAGTCCGTTATAGCTGACACTAATTATGTACATTATACATAATTTTTTTCAAAAAGAACAAGTATTGATTATGTATTTTATGGTATATATACATTTATGCTATGAATAAGATCTATGAACTATTTTTCTGAATATCTATGATTCAAAAATTAGGTGAAGTTTTAAGAATGTTTAGTTTTGGATAAATTTTTAAGGGAAAAAAAATAACGGAATGATTTGATGGAAATGGTTGATAACGATGAATTATATTAAAAATCACTTTTGATAACGATGATAACAACAATAACAATAGCAATAAACGATAACAACAATAACAACAACAATAGCAATAATGATATGTCAAAAATTTATGGATTAAATTGAATTCAATAAACATATAACAATTACAAAATTATCAACAAAAATTATCATAACAGTTTCGATTGAAAAAAAAAAAACAACAACAACAACAATAACCAACAACAATAACAATAATAAAAGCAATAACAAATAGCAACAGTTTATTGTTTATTAATAAAGTATTGTTACAACGAGTAAATAACCGAGGGAAAATATAGAATAGTGACAAATATATAGTGATAAATAATAGTGACAAATATATAGTGATAAATAATAGTGACAAATACAAACAATGACAAATATATATTTTGTAATTAATGGAAGAAGTAATTAAAAGTTAAAAAAATTTTTTCGTAAAAAATTTCAACGAAAGAAATAATAGAGCTATTTTCATCGCATTTAGTAAATTTGAACAACAAATGCTTGATTATACCATTATTCAAATTTCAGTTTTTATTTGAATTAATTTCTAATTTCGAAAATTTATACTGAAACATGAATTTAGGTAAGTTGAAAATTGTACTAATCAATTATTTATATGTTTAAGCATTCTTTTATTGTTTTATATTAGCACTTATTTTCTTATAAAATTAAATCAAAAAAAAAAAATGTTTCGATTAAAATTTTTATTCAAATCAAATTGTTTTCTTATATTTACGAATTATAGAACAATCCTGAAGTGAAAAAAACTAATAAAACAGCTTTTTGTTAATTGCAAAATTTAAAAAATCTAAACTTTAGATCAACCTTTTAAAATACTAATTATTATTAATTAATTTTATCTTCTCCAATGCTTATTCTATTTTGAAAAAAAAAAATAACCTCTGATGCTTACAACATTGATTTGCATGCAATGGTCAGCATGAAAAATTATTGCTTTGTATTGATAATTCCTTCTGACCAGTTTTTTTTTTGACCATTCACTTCATTCCTGAACAGCAGCATCTGTTCGTTCATATGTATTCCTTTATTTCACCTGTGGATTTTTCACGATATAAGCGCTAAAAAATTAATTCGATAAAAATAGAAAGAATCGAAACAATTGTTCTGTTCGTTCTTCAACTGTCACTATAACTTTGTAAATTGTTATTAATATTTCCGATCATTAGCAAAATTTTTTTACATTTGGATGAAGTGAATTTTACTTAAGTTAAATTAATTAATTAAAATATTAAGCAAAATAAATATTGGTACCATTGGTTAATTTAGTATTATAATAAAACGAATGAATTATTTATGATAAGATAAATTTTCGATCAGAAATATACTCAACGCATTCGTTTGTTTTAAAGATGAATATTGTTGCAGATTGAATTTTGATAAATTACTTTTTCATTTAATAAAAAAATTATTGGCTGATTGAATGAAGTAAAACTGACTATATTAATCATCTATCAGGTTATCAATAATAATGCTAGGATAATTCGATAAGATGTAAATTTGACTGATAATTTGAAGATGTAAGAGTGGACAAAATATTCCATTACATTTTCCACGTTTTTTCTACCTGTTATTAATTTTTGTTTAAAATTAAGGAGAAATTATGAAGGAAGCGTATCACAACTTTAATTTCATTAAATTTCATAATTTATATTACTGTTGAGATTAATGAAAATTTTCATGTTTAACAATATAAGTTATTAGTTTTTCATTTTTGCTTAAAACAAAGGTGAATATGAACTGTTAATCGTAATCATGATTAATAAACAAAAAAAATGAAATCAGAATTCATAAATTATAATTAAACAATTAATTTGCAAATGTTATACACTTTTATAAGGGAAATTATTATTTAGCGAATTCAACAACAGATAAATACTACTGTTGAATTTAAAAAAATTAATTCAAAAATATGTATGGAAGATGTATGTAAGTTGAAGAAGACATGATTTAAAATTAAAAGATATTAACAATAATAATAATTATTATTATTAATAGTAATTAAAGCTTTACTAATCGCGCCAAAATAATATTCAAATTTAATATCCATACAACAATAATAATAATAATAATAATAATAATAATAATAATAATAATAATAATAATAATAAACAATAGCAATAAGCTTCAATAATTATTTTGAAATAATATTTAAATTTAAATATTTCTTTGTTAATAAATATCATTACGTCATTTTAATTTAATTTTTTATTGTTTAAAATATTGTTTTGATACATTTTTCTTATCAATTTTCCTTGAAATTATTAAGATATGAAAAGAAATCATATAGTTAATACTATTAACGGAATAGAAATGTTTAATTATAATTTAATGACTTGCACGCTAAAAAAAATAATACTTAAAAGTGAATGTCATGCATGCATGCATGCATGTATTGTATTGTATTGTATTGTAATTTTGAATGTAAGTATTAATGGTCAGCAAGATGGTAATTTTTTAATGGATGAAATGGTGAAAGTGATGGTAAATGATACAGAGAAGGAAGGTATGCAAAACCATCAGTAGAAAGAAGTTTTTCTTTCTTAAGGCCTTTATTTCTTTTCATTCCATAAATACACGCATACCCACATACATACACATGCATCACATACATACACATACACATACATGAACATACTCTTACATACACATGCGCATATACACATAAATACATATATTTGCATTATAGATGGCGCCCCAAAGGTGAGCACTGATAAATTTATAATGCCGCTTTTTTCTTTTCATTCCATTCATGAATTAAGCACAGGGATACCAGTAACTTGATCATAGAAGGCTTGGTACTGCATGGGGGCCATTTCCCGCATTTATAACTAACCGAATAATATGACAATTGTTTTTGGAATGATTGGGATAATCTTATTTATTAGGAAATAGTTAAAAGAGTGAGAAATGTTTGGATAGGAAATAAGCGATCAAAGGAATATTTTTCAAGTGGTTTTACAAAACTAGCAAACAGATATCTATTATATATATTTCTGTATATATATGATAGATGAAAATGATCTAAATTAACGATAAATTTAGTCAATTAATAAATTCACCTGCATTAATACATATATTCATTATATTACTTATTAGTTAATAAATCTTACAACATTGATATTAGATAGTTGTATATTTAGCATGTGGATACATCACTAAAAAGAATAATTAAATAATTCCACTGTTGATGCATGTATTTATATACATTGATATATCATTCATTTTCTTGTAGAGTATTTCAAAAGTAACAAAATAGAACATTAATTTTACCACAAATTTATATGAACAAAAAGAAGATATGCAGTAAAATAGTGATAAAAACAAAATCTAGTAACTCTCTAAACCATATTTAACAGATCCGGGCTAATGTATTTCAGTTGAAAAAATTAAAAAAAGAAACATACCGACAAACAATACTCTCACAATAAGCAATGGTAACCTTTGGGTAAATTTTTGAAGTTAAAATTTCAATGAAATCCATCAAATTATTTTATCCATGAATTTGTAAATTTTTATTTGAAAAAAAGTTTCACATTTATTACTGGGAAAAAACTAAGATGCCGCTAAACAAGATTTTTAAAAGGATTAAAAAGAATGTGGGAATATTGTTGAATAAGACAAACTGACTGGTGGATCATCTCTTTTGCAAGTAAAACATTAATAGCATTTTTTAATATAATTAATGATTGAATGTCCGGTGTGTCGTATGTCTAAGAAACCGGATGGAACATAAAAATATATAAATATCTCTTTAACAATTACCCGCTTATCCGATCTTTGCCGGTATGGCTGAGAATTGAGAGTATCACCTCAACTACGAACATCTGGTACAGCAAGTTCCAAAAAGAAATTACAAAAAAATTACAAAGCTTTCTTCTAACCAAGAAGTATATCAGAGCAAAATAAATGACGGATAAAACAACGATAGTCCATTGGGATGGTAATCGAAGCAAAAAATAAATAAATTAAGATGCATATTAATGGAAAAGCCGGAAATTAACTTAAAAACTGGAAGTTCACGGAAATTGTTGGTAGAAAAAAAAGGATGCAAAAAGTTAAGATGTAATTCTTTTTTTTTTTAATTTCAGTTTATAAAGTTACCGAGAAGTCAAAAGATAGAATGAATCGGAAACAGATATCTTCAAATAACAACAATCACCGTCTATCGTAGTTTCATATGCTCTGGACTGTTAAATTCCAAGCATATTTGGAAGTAATTCATCTTTTCTTGAAAATATAGAGCAGAAAAAATCGTATAGGGATCTAAGATAATTTTGTGTAAAGAAGAATCGTACCTTTTATTCTAGTTCAAAATTTACAATTAAAAAGAATCAAATTAATACAACACGGAATTTGAACACAAAAACAGTTATTGAAATTTAGTGTTCTTGTTTGCTATTTTTTGAATACTCAAGTTAATTCATATTTTTAACACAGGAGAATATTTAAATAATGTTACTATAATAATAATAAATTAAACAAACTAAATACCAAAATTCTTTCTAAAATAAGTAAGGCAGCAAATTCCACTTTTTACAATGAAAATGAAAGCCCTAATTTTATGATGTGTCAATTCGCGCCAGATGAACGAAGTTTCTGACTTAAATGCCTATTCCTCTTTTTTACGGTTTTGAGCATCTCATATATTGAGGGTTTGGATGGTAGTGGAAGATTCTTTTGAAATTCCTGAAAAAAATATCTCCAAATTCTAAATTTATGATATTAGTTAACAAGCTAAAAACGTGAAATATAAAATAGAACATTTAGGTGTTCAGTGGATTTCCACAGATTTCCTTCAGGATTCCCTTTTTTTGGATTCCCTTCAGAACTGCTTAAGAATGCAACTGTCCTTGGCAGTGGAAAAGAAAATAAGAGTTGATAAACTGCAATTTAAAAATTCTCAAAATTCATAAATTACCAACTTCCATAAGTTTATGAGTATCGATGAAAGTTTCGTTAAAATCCTTCAACGCATGAGACAGTTTATCTTTGAGCTTCGTCGCATTATCAATGCTTTCCAGAGCTGCGCTGTTTGTTACTGCGTAGATTCGACGTACATTGGCGCCTCGTGATTTTTGGCCAATTATAACAAATTGACGAATATCACCCGTGTTAGAAACATGTCTGAAATTTAAAACCTTGAATATAAAACTTCATGCAATTTTTCCAATGCATTGCTTCACAGTAACTTATCTGAGAACTAGAATAAACCAAAAACACAAAATGGTTATCAGTAAGGATTGGGAAAGAACTTGAAAATAAATCAAAATTAAAAAAATCAAAAGGTGATCTGTAAAAATCTGTACTGCTAAGTAAATTTACCTATAAAGATACAAAGCATAGCATAAGGAAGTAGAATAATATAGAAGGAAATAAATAAAGTGCTCAAATAATATGTAATGAGACATACGTTCCACAACATGGCTCGATGATATCTTGACCAACTAATCGTGAGCTTTCAACCGTAACAATCCGATATGAGCCGTCGAAAGCTGACTCCTGAATGTATTAACAATAAAGAAATGCCAAGTAACGAAAAAAAATGTCCAAGGGAAATCAAAAATATTGCTTTTCTAAAAGTTGGATACTGGTCGTACTTGCAACATTCTAAAACTAAACATCAACAAGTAATCTGCAGAAGTGAAAAAACGAAAATGTCACCTGTGAAATGTCGAATGCAGAGAAGTTCTTGCGCATAGGTCCCAATTCTTCTTGCAAAATGCATTTGACCGTAACATTTAGATTACTTTTAATAATCTTATTTACCGTCTCCATTACTTCTTCGATCTGTAACTAATTCTGTTAATTTTATTTCCTAAAATTTCATAACCATATCAATAAGCACCAAACAAAAGAGTACTTATTCCACATAATAGCGACCCCATTATATAACTGGATTTTTGAGACCATAAAACAAAATATTCTCCCTTCAAAAAATATTTTAACACTGCCTCATGTACTTCCACTTAAATTGTGTTCAATTTGGAACCTTTCACATATCAATAATAGAAAATTCCTGCACATTTTTCTAAAATACTGTGACCAGCACAAAAAAATCAACCCAGAAAAAAAAGCTTTGAATTATTGATCTTGAATCCTTAACTGAGTGAAAGAAATAAAGAAAAAAGAAACATAAAATCTGATCATGCAGATAGAACAGGCAAATTGACAAACAAAACTGGTGACTAACTGGCAGAAACAAGAAGCAAACCTTTTCAAGAGTAAATTCTTCGTCAGGGACAAAGAAATCAAAATGCAGTTTGTCAGGACCAATAAATGAACCCATCTGACGAACTGATCCACCAAATACCTTTTCAAGAGCAAAATGAAGAATATGAGTAGCAGTATGGCCACACATTAACGAAAACCGTTGTTTCTTAAAAAATGAAGGTAATATTAACACATTTTTCTACAAAGAAAACTAAAAAAATCTCTTTTAAACTAAAAATTTTGGAGAAATAAAGCAAACACCTTGATTTCAGTCATATAAATTCCATACGATGCTAAACAAAACAAGATGACCATGCCGTCTCTAGCATGAAATTCCGATCGTGGAAACTGTCTCGAGAAAAGACAAAAGTAAAAAAGACACTGATAATAATTGCGGAGATTGTAAGTAACAAGAAAACTTGACATCGTAACAAACTTACAGAATCTATTATCTGCATCAGATTTAGTCCCTTTTCCAAAGTTTGGCCATCCGCTACTTTCCCTGTGTGAATAATATAGCCATTTCGCCTTTTCGCACTATTCACAATAAATATAACATTCTTAAAAAAATACAGAAAATTACAAAAGCAATAATGCAAGACCATCAAGAATTAAGATAATTATAAACTCTTCCACATTAATTCACAATTTTGTTCCTTATATACATCATTAACATTATCCGGTTTTGTACATCATTTCAAAAATAACCAATTGAGTACAATATTATTATCTACATTTCATATCAGAAATCAGAAATAAAAAAATGTCACGCACATAATGCTTTAGAAATTTTATAATTCTGAGTATGGAAATTACATTTAAACTATCTCGGAGGATCCCTGTATCGCACAATTGTCCTCCTTGCTCAGCAAAAAAAACCGTCGAATCCATGATGACGGACCCAATTTCCCCTGATTTAAGTGCCATTACATTTTTACCATTGACATCAAAAATTGCCATAGCAGTACCTCTCTTGCTCGGAAACTCTAAAAATTTTTATTTTGTTCCATATAACACATCATTAACATCACCCGGTCTAGTCCATCATTTCCAAAACAACCAATTGAGTACATTATTTTGCAAATTAAAGTTTACGCAAGGGTATAGGTTAAATTTTTGTTTGGCACAAGTACTATTTCCTCCATGTCGAGAAAAACGCAAATGACATCTAAAGTTCTAAAGTTTGAAATCCACATCGATTTTCATTATGACCAAAAAGTAAAAACTGTATACCATATTTGCCCAATTCGATCCGTCTGCAACCATATTTTTCTGAATCGTTAGTTGGTTTTACACCATTCAATATCATTTCTTCTAAATCGACTTTTTGCCAAGATTCCTCTTCGGCTTTTTGAGTTTTCTGAAATTTCTTCTTCGCTAAACTACATAAGCTTGTCTAATATTCACTTTATAAAAGAAAAGCCAAATCTGGAAGTCCTAGCTGTCAGTGGAATAATATAAATTTAGCTGCTTACACACATCAACCATTCATTTTTTTAAACATATAACTACCTTTATGCTTATCGCCTTACTCTTCAAAACTAAACAACAATAGAAGTACAGATTCTTATAAAAAGATAACAAATAACAAAAATATCATCATTATACAATATAATGTTTGAAAAGAAAAATAACCTGAAACTTCGTTAGACATTGGTAAAAGCCATCCACATCGACTTTCAATCCTTTTTCATTGCATATCTTTTGAGTTATTGCCAGTGGAAGACCGTAAGTTCCTGATAACATCCATGCAATTTCCCCTAAATAAATCGATATCAACTTCCGCATATGAGATATGTTCTTTCTAGCGTGAAAATATATTGAAAATATATGAATATATACGATTATATATTTTTTTTGAAAAAATTATATAAGTAAAATGATAACTGGCATGTTGATTTGTCGCTATCCAATGACTGATTTAAATGTATTATCTGAATCTTTTCAAATAATTTGGAGCAAAGTGGCAAAGTCATCAGAATGCATGCAACAAAAAATGACCACGAAGATTAATTAAATCCAGTCAAATTAACTTTTCCATACAAGTACTATTAATCATGAAGAGAAACGAGAACGGTCATACCTGACAGCACATGTTGCTGAAGTGCAATATTATCCTCCAGCAACTTGCTACCCTTGTCAAAACTTCTCCAAAATAACTCCTCCTCAGACATAATCGTTTTAGCTATTATAGTTTTACGCTCCGCGACACTGTCGTACAGTAAAGTCTGAACATAAATAATGAAACAAAATCTTCAGAGGCTTTACAGAAATTATTTGCTTTTAACTTGAAAATTAACTTGAAAACTTTGTTATATGATTAAACTTACTATATGATTAATGAAATCAGGGACCAAAGATGCTAGCGTCCCTCGTTCTGCACCAAGCGTAAGGATTAAATTTAATGCGGCACGCCGCAAAATCCGTCGAAGATGATACCTGCAAGCATAATTATAGCCAAGAAGATACTATTTAAACGGATATTTGCAAATTCAAATATTAATTGTAGAAACATTTGGAAATTTGGAACTGACTGTTGCGGAATGGTAAAAAATGTCTAGCAAAAAGAGCGAACAACAAAAACATAAAGAAAGACAAATATATGATAAGAAACTCAAGGTAGATGGAAACAGCATTTTTGATTTAACTTCTGGCATTATTGGATATCACAATAAATAAAGATGGAGTCTGAACGCTGAAAATGCATCTTAGGAAAAAACTAACCCTCGATTCCGTGAACCAGGTTCAACACCATCCGAAATCATAATACAAGCAGCACGAAGATGATCAGCAATAATCCGATACGCTGTGTCAATATCTCCAAATCGTCCACTATATTCCTCGACTTTGGAATACTAAAAATTTGGGAAAAAAGATGGAATTCATCAATTCTGCATGACTTTAATAAAGATAAAAGCGAAAACTTCCAAACGTAAATTAAAATACAAAAGCCCAAACACCAACCTTGTGAATAATTTTCATCAACGGCATAAAAACATCGGTATCATAAGTAGAGCGCAGCCCTTGGACAATACTCACTAATCGCTCGAATCCCATCCCGCAATCTATGTACATCGTTGGTAAATTACTGATTCTGCCTGACACATCCCTGTGATAAACTGTTATGGAATGAGATGGCGTCCCGTTAATTTCTTTCTATCTTCTATTCATGCTTTCTAATTTTTCTAAATTTCAGCAAAAATCCTGAAAATCTTCAGAAATTTCTTCGAACAATAACAGAAACAACGGGATCTTGAAAATTCTACCTGCTGAACTGCATAAAAACAAGATTCCAAACTTCGACTACTGTTGGATCATTTGAATTCACAAGTTTTTGTGCTTTTCGATTACCAATAAGATCATAATGAATTTCCGTACACGGGCCACATGGGCCCGTTTCAGCCATTTCCCAAAAGTTATGATTAGAACAAAAGCCAAGCACGCGATCTTCAGGAACACTGTAAAAGGTAAAATTAAAAAGAGGCATGTCACAACCATGCAAACCATGCACATATTCTAATTCGAAACAAAATTCTTAATTATACCCTAATTTAATCCAAATATCACGGCATTCACGATCTTCTTTTAACTTCATGTTTTCATCTCCACCGAAATATGTAATATATAATCGATCAGCTGGCACCCTGAGGACGTCTGTGAGAAAGTTCCAAGCATATAGACATGCTTCTGCCTGGAACACGAAACTTGTTGGTTTGATCAAGGTTTTTGAAATGAGATTTCAAAACAAGGTTGAGATTTTCAAGCTTTCCTCAACTTGTGCCATTGATTTTATTGTTACCTGACATCTGTTACAATATCTGTTCACTTCTTCGGCTAAAACAGATAAAAACCGTGAAAATAACTGTAATGCTGAAGTGACAATGAGTAAGTTTACTATTGCCACAATAAATTATAAGAGTAATATTATTTCCAAGAATTTAAAACATAAACAATAAAAAACAAAACAAAACAAGAACGCATATATCATAAGACCTTCGAGTAACCACCAAAAGAATAATTTCCAAGCATTTCGAAAAACGTATGGTGCGTCAAATCACGGCCAACATCGTCGAAATCATTATGCTTACCACCAACACGAATACATTTTTGCCAATTAACAACATTACGCAAAGCAGCAAATTTTCCTTCGGTATATTTAGCACCCAGAAAAAGGGGCTTGAACTGAAGATATCATAAATCAGTTATGTATAAAAAACACTTAAAAGTAATCGTACATTATTGAATGGATTGCAAAAATATGATGAATAAACATAAAATACATGAAACATTGTTTAAAATCAAAAAGAAATAAAAAACAAAATACAAAGATATGTTGATTTTCTAAAACTTCTTATTTTCAAAGTATGGAACAACGCTTAAGCATTTCTGAAATGCTTCCTAAGAGCCAGATTAGGCATTTTCTGAAGACCTAATTGAAGTTAGACTCAATTTTTCCAACAGACAAACAACCACAGCATAGCTTGACATTCCCCAGTTCGGAAAATTTCCAAAATATCAGTAATAGTTATCAAACTTCTAAGCTTCAACAAATGACTAGATTTTTCATGATTTCGATAGTTAATAAGATTTCAAGATTCACACCTGATTCATCCCGGCATTAACAAATGCAACAGAGTTGTCATCTTCCGGAATAACGGATGAGGAAGGCACAAATGTATGATCATGTTCTTTAAAATACTGTAAAAACGATAGACGAATTTGATGTGCTGATAAACGACGTATATGCAACTGTAAACACGTAATGGGCCAGGTATAACAGGTGCTATTCCGCCATAATTTATTCATCGCAAATACATCACCAATTTCTGCAGCGAAAAAAATATAAAGTATGAAGCAAAAAGTGAATAAGTTGTACCAGCAATTTCCCACACACATTCATATCCATTTCTGTGCCGCACTTTAACACAAATTTATACGCTTAGACATACTCATATATGTATGTATCATAATCTCATCCATTTCTATCTTCTTATCTTAGTCAATATAAAAGATATTCGCCTGTGCAGAACTAATAAGCGACACTTTTATTTCCTATACTGAATTTACTTCCAATGATTAATTTGCTTATTTCCATCTGAATTTACTTCCAGTTATTAAGTTAATTATTAAATTTTTTAATAAGTTATTAATTTGCTTATTTCCATGTATTAAATCTGCAAATTCAAATTTATTTTTTTCTTTTTTGGTGATATATTACTTATTGCCGTGGATCGTAAGAACACGTATCACCACTGTATTCACAAAGCAGTTTTATAGCATCTGGTATTTAACTCTTACAACGGAAAACGCAACAATAATAAAACTGGAAAAGATTTGAAAAAATATAAATCCCGCAAAACCCGCCGCATAAAAAGATTACAGCCAAAAGCACCGGAAACCCCGCATAAATATACCACGAATCCAGCCATCATTCATCAAGTGGTACAGGGATGGGTTGGAATGAAAACGACTATCTCATTGTCTCATTTTCCTCGTATGTTTAAGTTTCGATTTGGAAGCGTTTACTAAAAAGGAGAGATGTAATTAGTGCGCTGATAATGATAATGATGTGGTTGACAATGATAATGATGAAAAGGAACAAATATTATTCATGCATAAGTGACGATGATGATAATGATAATGTCAAAGAGAGTAAACAGAATAAATATGAAAAGAAATATGAAAAGAAAACAGAAATGAATATTAATAATAATGATAATTATTATCACACATGATATTTCTCACTTTTTCAAGTAAAAAAAACGACGGACAAATGAAGCCGTTACTCTTCAATGGTTGCTAATTACTTGCTAATTACTCATTTAATGAGGAGGAAAATTAGTTATTAAGATATTTGAATTGATATTACTGGAAATTTTCTGCTTATTCATTTTGATATGAATGAAGAGAAAATTCCAACATCGATATCAATACTTTGCTTATTCTCAAATTGTATTTGATAATAGAATGAATTTGTTGTAATTTCCATTTGAATCATTTCTACTTCTAATTAATAATTTGGTTAGTTCTAATTAATATCTACACTAATTAATAGTTTGATAAAGAAAAAGTTTGCAAATTTTGAAAATAGAAAATGAAAATAGGATGAAAAAAAATTGCCAATAAATAATTATTATATAATTTAGCGGAAATTTTGAAAGATAAAAAAAGAGAATAAATAAATATCATTTTGTTCACTTTTAAATTAATCTTCACTTTCCTGATCATACGGGACAGGATAACCATGGACCATATCATCTTTTGGCCAATTATATGTATAATCGATCATATCAGTATATGCTGTTTGATACATTTGACTACGTACAAAATTTTCCATATTTGCCGGTTGCGGATAAAGTTCTGCCAAATTTTTCTGCAATTCTTATCACTATGATTTTGTCTAATCATATCTTTATGTTATCTCAAAGAAAAACAAAAGAGATCATTGCATGCTTAAATAGCACATAGGATTTAATTATAATAATTTAACGATTCTTCATCGTGATAAATTAAGCAAAATCAAAATTACTAAAATCTACTAATTTCTAATTACAAATTAGCTTACAGATTACTAAATTGAATGAATTAGTTTTGACATTTTTATAAATGGTTATTTTCGAAATTAATAAAATTCGGATATCAGAAACTAAAGAAAGTACGACAAATTTGATTTTAAATTTTTTTAAATTGATAATACTTATAAAATAATTCACCAACCTTATAGCTATATTTTCCAACAGCTAAAATTATTTTCACTGAAACTTCTCGAATACGATTTAAACTTGGATATAAACGTTTATGCTTAAAATCATCATCATTAACATTGTTAGCCACTTCCTACAAAAATAATACAATTACTTCAAAATACCGATCCCCGCAGAAATTATAACAATTAAATTATTCAAATGTATAACAAAATATTATTATTAATGATCATACTGTTCATTATCAATAAAGGTAAATTGTCGTTCTATTGTAGAAGTTTGTTATTTGCTATTATTAATTAACGAAATATTTGGCATGAAAAAGAAAAACAAAAATAAACAAACGCGAGCAGCTATAAGAAACATTTCATTGTCAATATGTCGAATTCGAAATAGAATAGCTGCCATACCTACGCCCGGAAATATATAGGAATTATTACCTTGCCCGGGCTTATATATTTTCCCCTTGTATTCTACATTATCGAATGGACTTCCACTTGCAAATAATACTTTACCCTGAAAAAAAATTAAGGCCAAAATATTCTATGATATCATTTATTATCTTTTATCTTTTATTAATTAATTAATTAATATATATCTTTTATTAATTGATTTTTGTAATAGTATTTAAAAAAAGGACACACATCAGTCCAACGAATTGCTTGTTCCGCAGTACATTCTGCATTTTTTGTTGGATTTGATAGGGCGAAAATGATTGGTTTCGGATTTAATTCTGCCATACTACGAATAATTTCTTCATTGAAAGCACCTGCCACTGTTGAAACACCAATTAGTGCGGTTGGTTGAATATTTTTAATTAACTAAATATTCTGATTAAAAATAAGGTATACATTTAGTTAAATAATTAATTAAATTTTTAATTAACTAATTCCGCAATACTTCTTTGCTTTGTTTTATTTTTTTGAAAATAATTATTTGAAAAAATTTTTCAATTGTTTAAATATATATACTATAATATTTAATCTCTAGATATTTGTAATAAAATTATTTATTAGCTGTCCAAATTTTTGTTAATTATTTAAATACTCCTAATATATTTCGGCTATTATTGTTTTACAAATATTAACCTCTAACCTCTAGTAAATTCTTTGTTTCCGGCATAATTTTAGCATATGGTATATGTTCTTTTTCTATGTGCAGACGATTTTGGGTTATTAAACCATCGGCATCCATCAAATAAATACGTGAACGAGCATTTTTACGTTCAATACCTTCCCTTTCCATTTGCAAAATACATAAGTCAGCAATTCCCATTGCAGCCTAGAAATCAATATTTTTATAATATTAAAATAATTACACGTAACACAATGAAGTGATAAGTAATAATTAAGTTACGAAGAGAGAGGAAAGAAGAACGGTAAATGGAAAGTAATAGAATTTTGTAGAATTAAGCTTTCAATATTTTTACTTTATTAATTAGTCAAATCGTACAGTAACTGTTTTCCAACTACCAGTTTCAATTATTAATAAATTATTGAAAACAAAATAGAAACATACAGAGCCAGCACCAAAAAAGATTATTTTCTCAGCTGATAAAGGCCTTCCAGTATGTTTACGACATGCTAAAAGTCCAGCTAAAGCTACAGAAGCTGTGCCTAAAGAAAACAAACAAATATAAGATTTGAAGATTTTTATTTTAATTCAAAATAACTAACAAAATAAAAAGAAGTGAAAAGATAAATGCAATTTGTAAATTTACTATTTGAAATACCTGGACAGATATCCTAAAATAATTTATAACATAAGTTATTTTGCTTTTGGTATATTAGGTATATTAGAATTATTGAGCAATACCTTGTATATCATCATTGAAAACGCAATATCGATTTCTATACCTGTCCAAAAGATGATAAGCATTTTGTCGTGCAAAATCTTCAAATTGAATCAATACATTTTGTCCAAACCTTAAAAGAATATTTGTCAAAAAAGAGAAAAAGAAAAATGACTTTTCATTTCTATTTTTATTTAAGTAAATGGATAAGTAAATAAAATTCTATGATATTAGATTGGATAAATTAAAACAAAAGTTTACAGTAATTACTTCCTTATTGATGACAATAAATATACCAATTTAATAAATATTGCAAATAAAATCTTTTATAAAAATATCATCTATGATTTTTTAAAAATTTATCCGATAAGGAATAAAATCACTCAAGCCCTCCTCACTTCCTCAAGTATTATCACTTTCCTCAAGTAATAATATCACTTCCTCAAGTAATATCAATACAACCACTTCCTATCCGTTAAGATATATCACAAATGTTTGTTCAACTTCATCATAGAACAAAATATAAACTAACAAATTTAAGAGAGTTTAATTTAAAGGTTTTACATTGTATTTCTTCTAATAAAAAAATTGATATAGTAGATTAATAATTTTCTTTTTTGTATTATATTATTTTATAGTACAATATATTTCATAACTGAATGAAAATAAATGACAAAAAGTTCGAACTCACTCTCTCTCTCTCTCTCTCTTTCCTTCTTAAATATGTTTTAAATATGATAATTGATGATCATTATAAACTACTTTATTTATAATAAGCGTACTTAATTATTAGCTTAAAAATATTACAAATTATCATTTGTAAAATATATTGAAGAGAGAAAACTTCATTTCAAAAAAGTTTATTGAAATTATTATTTTTCGTAGTATTATCGCTTTTGTTTTAAAATAAACTTAAAAAAACAAATGACAAACTTTTGTATAAAATAAAAAACAGATAAAGAAAAACTTTTTAGTGGATGCTTTCATAAAATTATCAACAAAATGATGATATTCTTCGCCACGTGTTCGTTTTCGACGTAATCCAGTATAGAATGGATCTTTTAATAATGTCTGTAACAAAATATTCCTAAATTATAATTAATCCTATTAGTACAAATAAATTAATATCATCTTTTAAATAAAATATGTATGTAAGATTTCTCACTAATTATTTGTAAATGAATCGAAATATATTTCATTGTAATGAAAAGAGAATTGAAAAGATATTAAAATTATAATAGAAATAAAAGAGTATTTCGGGATCGATTCAAGTTAACTATATGTTAACTATATATGAATCGTTAACTATATATGAATCGGGAAAACTCAATCAGCGAACTTAACAACAAGTTGAATAAACAAGCGAACTTAACAACAAGCGAACTTAACTTAATAAACTTAACTTAAAACGAACTTAACAAGCGAACTTAACAACAAGTTGATGATATGATGATAAGCAATGGTATTCTATTAAAGTTATCAGCAGATATGATAGAAATTATAATTGTATGAATTAGTATAGAAGGAATTCTTTTATTGAAATTAGATGAACATTTAAGAAAAGATGCGAAAAAAATGAAAATGCTTGCTTCATTATCTGTTCCAACGTCTAATACAACCGGTAAGCACCATTTTGGTAATACACCAGCTAGAGCAACATAGAGTGATAATTTACCTACAGATATTCCCATACCATAGCAACCAAGATCACCCAGGCCAAGAATTCGCTCACCATCCGTTATCACTATTACCTGAATATATCATATTTGTAGAGTAGAATAAAAGGCATGAAAAATACACGAAAAGATAAATAAATGTAAAAATACGAGATGCCTAAAAGTAAAATAAAGAGAATGAGTAGAGAGAGAGAGAGAGAGCGATACCTAAAGATACCTGCAAGTAAAAGTTTTAAATATTCCAGGTAAAGGTATATAGGGAAGCAAACATTCTTGATGAAAGTCGCTTAATATAGTATTACATAAAATTGCAATTGATGTTAATATATTTACAAATTGAATTTTAACTGTCATGTCGTAAAATTAGCAGAATAACCGACTACATCTGTATTATCAGTGATTGATTATATTTGGAATATAATTTAATATTTTCTAAAATAAAATGATATGCAAACCCGAACATCCATTTCGGGCCAATTTGAAAGGATATGATAAATTTTGCTGATACTATTATCATTTATCGTTACATACAAACCTCTGCAAAATCATTTAAATGCATTATGAATAATTTTTGTTTACTATTTATGTTTTTTTGCTTACTATTTTTTTAAAGATGCTTTTTATAACCAAATAAAATAATGCTTAGCAACAATTTATCACATTTTATATCATATTCTTTTTGAAATGTCTTATCAAATTATACTCAACTTAATTGATTATAAATATCTAATTGTCATTTAAATCAATAATCCTAAAAGAAATATGGATAAATTAAAAAATGAAATTTTTAATATTATCGCTTTAAAATTGGAGAAGGAAAAGTTGAAAGCTTCCTCTTTTTCATGAATCATTTATTAAATGACTTCAAAATATATTAATATCTGTTCTATTTTATATATATATATATATATATAATTCAAAACATATAAATAACTGAATAATGGGAAAAGAGGAAAATTCTGAATGAAATTTTATTACTTTGGCCTTCGATAAATAAAGCCAAATTTTTGGCATGCTAAGCCAACAGTTGGCGTATAAACAATTGGAAGAAGTTCTTTGAAATGATCACATATTACTCGATAATATAATTTTTCATTACTCTCCTTGAAAAGAAAATTTCCCTTCTTTAAAATATACAAAAACTAATTTAATTTTTTACAAAGTTAATTTACAATAATATGATGATGAACTTATCTTAAAAATTATTGATCATATTCTAATTTCTTGAAAGTATGTGAAAGAAATAGAATTACTATGATTTTATTGATTTTAAAAATCTATTAATGAGGTGTAATTTTTTTCAAAATATTCTGCAAATTATTAATTAACCTGTAAAGAATCTAATTGAACGTATCGCGCTAAATCATCAGGTTGTTGTCGAAGATTGGTAATAACTCGATATGCTTCCTGATCTTCGGTCATAAATGCTGGTGGCAATAAGCCATGAATTCCGAAGTATTGACGTTCATATAAAGTAAATGACATCCCCTTAAAAAAAAGTGTAAACCAAAACTTCAGATCTTCTTTGTTAAAGTTTATATTTAATCTTAAACAGAATATAATATAATATAATATAATATAATGTAACTAAATTAGTTGCATTTCAAAGGCTATTGAAAAGATCATTTGAAAAAAATAAAATCAAAATCGGCAAAATTATTTAAAAATGAATGAATTTCTTTATATCCAACCCATTCTTAATCTTCTTAGA